GCAGCAGCAGACCCCAGCCCTGCTATTCCAGCCCCTGAGAGTGGAGGCTCTGACTCCCTGTCCTGGCATTTCTGTCCTTCTTGCGCTGACTATTGGCCCTCCCCTTCCCGTGAGCCCTCCTGCTGGGCCCTCAGGAGAGGGCAAGAAGGAAGCCCTGGGGTTGGTGCTGGGATAGTCAGGGAGGATAATAGCCGCCTACCGGGACAGGCAGGCAAAGGGCTCTCCAGAACTATCCCTTTAGTCTGCCTCTGCTGACTGATTCTTCTCTGAAGCCCCTTCCTTCAGCTTCAGCAGCTCTGATGTCTGACCACGGTGCTTCAAACAAGGCCTCAGCAGTCTTTTTGAACTGTCCCAGTAGAAAGAGACCTCAGCTTACCTTCACTTGGCAGGCCCAGATCAACCAGTACTCACAGCTCCTATTGCAATGCTTTCCTTACTAATGGCGTGATTTATGTTAACAGCAACCCCTGCATTCAACAGGTGCTCTTGCCTTGCTTTACAACCCACCTTGGTATATGTGACTCCACTTGACCTGTGAGTCAGCCATGAGCATTGCCTTCCCTATTTTACATAAAAGGAAATGAAGCTCAAAGGCAGGCCCAAGGACGTGTACCTAGAAAGTGGCAGAGCTGGGCCCAGAGCCTGGGGCTTCAGACTCCTGCCCGCTCTGCTGTGGGAAAGGGGAGGACCCTGCCTTCTTGTGTTCTTCTGTGCTGGCCCACACTGGCCCTCACTAGCTCTCTGCTCTCCAGATGGCTCCTGTCTTGACTCCCTAAAAGATTCCCTAAGCCAAGGGTCAGGGGCCCTATGTCCCCCCAGGGAGCCACCAGTTAGAAAGTGCTCATCTTGTGTCTGGTGCCTGGTATATGCCCTTCCCACCTCGCCACAGAAATGCCCCTTTCTGCATCAAAATACTGCTCCATGGATGCTAAGCCTGGGGCTCAGAGCCTAGTGGACCCAGCACCCCAACACCCTCCTTTTTCAAACCTACTCAGCTCAGGCTGACACTGGGGGAACTGTGGATCAAGGCTGTCCTGTCCCAAACTGTTCCAATCAATAGCATGTTCCTTCCTTTCTGGAAGGATTGAGGGGACTGTGTTCAACCTAGCCTGGTGGTGCCCTAGAGGTCCACATCTATGTGGGATATAGAGCCAGCTCTAGGTGCCATCCTAGTGACCCCTGAGGACAGGGGGCTTTGCAGCTAAGTGAGCACCTGAGGACTCACTGGGAGAAGCTAGCTCCCAGGGAGGGGTAGAAGCAAGCATGGCTTCCTTCAGCCTCGGACAGGTACGAGGCTTGCTTGGGTGGGGCAGGTGCCCCCAGAGTGTGCAGTGTGCCAACCAGAGAGCTTGGAAGCAGTGCGCAGCCCTGGAACCGTCTCCTGAGTGTGGGACAGGTGCTCTCATGCCTCCCCATGACCCTCTCCACTCCTACTCTGCCAGCTGAGGGACCCTGGGGACTTGCTCCTGGGGTGTCTCCCAGCTCCCAGGCCAGCCTGCCCCAGCCCTTCCCTGCTGTCCCTTGAAGGCCCTCATTCCTCTACCTCTCTCCACTCCCCCTGAAGAGAATAACCTGCCCTCTGACCCACCTGTGCTGCTGCTGCCACCTCTGCTGTCCCTTTGTGTGTGTCCTCCTCTCGCCCCCTAATCCAGCTAATTTTCTGCCCTCCCCAGGTCTGATGACAGCGACTCCTCTTTGTCGGAGGTCCTGAGGTACACACAGAATGTCTCTTGTGTTTGGTCCCCAGCTCTCACTCTCTGCACTCTCTCTTCTCTGCCTCTTGCTGCACCGGCCCCTCCCGCCTGCACACCCCTGTCCTCGCATGCAGCCCCTCGCTCCCCTTCCTCCCTCCCTCCCTCCCACCTGTTCCTGCTCCCAGGTTCCTCCCTCTCAGAGTGGCTGCAGAGCCTTCTGACTGTGCCATGCCCACTGGAGCTGGCGCTCAGGGAGGGCATCCAGTTGCTTGTTGCAAGCCCTGTCCTCTTCTTCCTCATCACCTGGGCAGGGCGGGGGTGCAACATGGACACCTGAGAGGAGCTGGGGCTGAGCTCTGCCGCGTGCCTGGAGGCAGGTGGAGGCCTGGAGGTCACGGGTATTTGCTAGGCTACTGCTCCTGTGAGGAGTGCCAGTGGCTGGGCTCAGGGCTCTTGTGACTCACTCAGCTGCTACCAGAAGCTAAGCTCTTCAGACCTTGGTTCTGGGAGGGACACAGAGGGGACAGTGCCCCCAGCCCACATCTATTGGCACACAGATGTGGGGTACCTCCCTGTCTCCCAGCTGTGGAATGGCTAGAGGCTGAGTCCCCCCAGCTGACCAGCACAGCACCCCACAACCAGGGGCAAGTCTCCAGACCTGGTGGGCCTGAGCCTACAGGCAGAGAGCCTTCGTGGGATAGAGCTTCCTCCCACTCTCCTGGCATGCTCTCTGCTCCCTGCGACTCTGGCCCCATGTGTTGAAGTTCTGGTTTACTCTCCTGTGGTCCTTGAGGCTTGGCCACCATGAGGTGCTAGCCACTTGCCAGGCTCTCACTGAAGGGAGGGTTATCCCTTTGGCATAGTTCATGGCAGTCTGGGGCTTCTTCCCCAGCCAAACACCTAGGCCAAGCTGATGTTAGAAGTGGGGTGCTGGGGCAGTAGTGGAGCTATTTGTGTGTGGGAGGGGGAAGAGAGAGACCTGCTGGCAGCTGAGTGTGTCTGACCGCTCTCCTTGGAGATGGGCACGCAGAGTTTGTGGAGGGACTGCAGGTGGGACCTTGGTCATTTCAGTGTACTCTTGCTGTCGGGAGCAGCATTCTCTTTGGGAAAAAAAAAACAAACTAGGATATATTTTCAGATACAACTCAGCCCTGGGGTCATCCCAAAACACCCTCACTGAGAAAAAAAGTCTTTACCCCCAGAACCTCCAGGTGGCTGGTGTAGCAAAATCCTCACACACATTCGGATCCGCCTCATTGCCTTCCTCAGCGTGTCATGGGAAAGGAAAGTTGCTAACTCCAGTCCTTGTAGCCTCATTCCAGACAGGTTCCCAACTTCTAACCCAAAGCTAACCTTGGATCCTTTGGCCTTTTGTAAATGACAGAGGTCTGACGGTGTTGGTCCATGGGCAGGTGTGTGCATGCACATGCAAGTCTCTCTTGGCAGATGGATAGTCTGGGATCAGGGTGCTTAGAGGGTGACAGCCTGCGCATCCTTCCCTCTCTGTATCCTCCCTCACACTAGGGTAACTGAAGCAGCAGCAGTTACTGATGGGGGCTGCAGGAGCCAGTTCTAGCACTTGGGCCTCTGCCCTGCCCAGCAGGGGCCAGGGTGCATTTACGTCTCAGGATTGAGGCCAGGCAGTGTCAGACAGGAACTCTCCATCGGTGGGGCCCATGCCTCCTGTTCCTTCCGAGATGGCAACTGACAGATCACTATATAACACAAGCCCTCCCTGCCTTGTGCAGCCTATTCCTAGTTCAGACCTAAGTGGAGTGTGGCTGGAGTCTCTGTCATTAGGCTCTTATCCCATCTCCACAGTATCCCCTTATGCCCCTATACCTCCATGAGCCCAGCCACAATCTCCCTGGCTGATGGGCATACTCTCTCTTCCTCTCTCCTGGGAAGGGGCATCATCTCCCCAGTCGGAGGAGCCAAAGGTGCACGGACGGCCCCGCTGCAGTGCGTCTCCATGGCTGAGGGCCACACCAAGCCCATCCTCTGCCTGGATGCCACGGATGAGTTGCTTTTCACAGGGTCCAAAGGTGTGTGGAACTCCACCTGGCCAAGCTGAGTTAAGGTCTCCCACCCACCCCGACTTCCTTTGTCAGGGTAGTCTATGCAGGGAATAAGAACACAGGGCCCAGGAGGTGAGGATGGCAGGTCAGCTTGCTCACTGCCCTACTGCTCTCCAGGCAATGCCCAGCATCCATATCTTGGTACTTCTTTATTTATTTATCTATTTATTTATGATTAAATCATAGCTGTGTGCATTAATGTCATTATGGTATACAGTGTGCTGGTTTTATATACAATTTGAAATACTTTCATCAAACTGGTTGAATTCTTTTTTTTTTTCTTCTGCAGTTTTTGGCCGGGGCTGGGTTTGAACCCACCACCTCCAGCATATGGGGCCAGCGCCCTAGTCCTTTGAGCCACAGGCACGGCCCAATCTTGGTACTTCTTGTGATCTGGGCTGAGGACTCCACAAAGTTACCCTCACTCAATCACAACAGCAGAGTCAAACATTATCCCAGCAGAAAGAACATATCCAAGTAGACACACATACTAGAAACACGAGAACTATCCCCTGCAGGAAGGTGGATGGTGTCAAGGAGATGAGATTGACTGGATCCAACCTTTCCCAGGGGGTTTGCTGGCCACGGGTTCACTTACTTTGTCAGTTGTTAGTATAGTAGGAGCAGGAATTACCAAAGGCTTAATAATTTGAGTTTAGCCTAAGACACCTTGACAATGCTCACAGAACTCTAGTGTTTGTAGGAAGTTTGCTTGAGAAACTCTGACCTAAAATTTTTCCAACCAACTATTCTCTCCCCTGAGTTTTCTAAGAGCATGGGCACTGGGAACACACGAGTGTGTGTGTGTTTTTGTCCCTCAGGCTTGTAGCTCCTTCCTTGAGAGCAGTGTTTTTCAGCTGTTTTTATCTCACGAAACACCAATTAAAAATCGGCCAGCTGCATATACCGAGGCTGGTGGGTTAGAACCCAGCCGGGGCCAACTGCAACAAAAAAAATAGCCAGTGCCTATAGTCCCACGTACTGGGAGGCTGAGGCAAGAGAATCATTGAAGTTTGAGGTTACTGTGAGTTATGATGCCAAGGCACCCGACCAAGGGTGACATAGTGAGACTCTATCTCAAAAAAGAAAAGAAAAGAAAATCACTGCTCTAGATCTTTCTCCATCACTTCCCCCTAACCAAGGTGGATGGCCCATGTTAGGGGAGCTATTTGCCTCCCCCCCGACTGATACCACCCCTTCCCTGCGGCTCTTACCCGTCTCCCACAGACCGCAGCTGCAAGATGTGGAACTTGGTGACAGGGCAGGAGATTGCAGCTCTAAAGGGCCACCCCAACAACGTGGTCTCCATCAAGTACTGCAGCCACTCTGGGCTCGTGTTCTCCGTGTCCACCTCCTACATCAAAGTGTGGGACATCCGCGACTCGGCCAAGTGCATTCGGACCCTCACGTAAGTCTGCCCTTCTCCCAGCCTGCCTCACAGGGGCAGGCTGTGGCGGGCTGGGCTGGGCACAGGTACTTCCCAGCTCTGGTGGTCCCCTAAGCCCAGAACAGCCAGGCTATGTGGCCACAAAGGTCATTACCAGCCCATAAACTTGGTTTGACTCTGGGGCACAATGTGAAATCCCGTGGGATGGGGGACAGTACCTATGGCAGCAGCTTGAGGGAACCTTAGTCTGCCTGGCTCACACCCACATCCCAGCCCCAAACTCTGCCCCTTGAGGTGTGTTGGATATCGCCCCATGAGTCCACAAGAGGAAACAGGGTGAGTCCAGCAGGCAGCAGCAACATCCAAAGCCCTGCTGGCTGTTGGCTGCTGCCTGTGTAGGTGACCACCCAGACATGCCCCCGAGCCTGGGCCCTGACCCAGTCTCAGGCAGGCGGGCACAGAGAGACAGAACCAAGGCCAGGACCCCTGCAAAACAAAATGGCATTTTTAGCAAAAGTCTCGCTTTAGCCTTACATTGACATTGTAGGCTACAGTCTGTTATTTAATTTGATCCTTAAGAAGTAAACACAGAAGTTTTTAGGGCAGCGAAGCTATCCTGTATGATGCCGTAAAGGTGGATACATGTCCTTATACATTTGTCCAAACCCATAAAATGTTCGACACTAGGAACAAACCCTAACATAAGCTATGGACTGGGACAATAATGATGGAACAAATGTACCAGTCTGGTGAGGGTTATTTATATCGGGGGGTAAACTATGCCTGTGTTGGGGGCATGTATGAAAAATCTCTGTATCTTATGCTGAATTTTGCTATGAGCCTAAAACTGCTCTTTAACAAAGTTTTTGAAAAGTAAGCAGAATGGGTATTGTTGCCTCTTTTTACAAATGAAGAAACTGGGATCAGAGAGGTTAAGTGATTTCCACCAGATCAGGTACAGTCCCCCGTCCCCCTCTCATGACTGAGTCTGATAGCCTTTCCCAGCCAGTGCCCAGGCACACCACAGGCCGTGTGGGACTTGTCCCTTCCAGGTCCCACTTCAGAGATAAGCTGCTGCTCTTTTGTCAGTCAAGGAAGACTTCCTGGAAGAAGTGGGTTATTGAGGGTTCTCTGGGTTTCTGGCCCATGTGGAGGGACTGTTTTCACCTCTGGCCTTGCCTCTCCTTCCCATGGCAGGTCCTCAGGCCAGGTGATCTCAGGTGACGCCTGTGCCGCCACATCTACCCGCGCCATCACTAGTGCTCAGGGGGAGCATCAGATCAACCAGATCGCCCTCAGCCCCTCAGGCACCATGCTGTACGCCGCCTCGGGCAATGCCGTTCGCATCTGGGAGCTGAGCCGGTCAGTGAGATGGCCAAGGAGGGGAGGAGGGCTTGGTGTCCTCAGCAGCAGTTTTCAGGTCTCAGTTTGAAGCGGGCAGGACCACAGCTGCTCCTCATTCCCTCATGCTGTGTCCACTCCTCTAAGAACCCCGAAACATGGGGATGCTATATCCAGATTTTTGATCTCACTTTGAGATGGACAGTACCTTGGCCAAGCCACTTTGTTTCAGGGCAGTCTTCCCACCCCAGCCTGGGGTCCCCTCTAATCTGCCCCCTCCCTTTGACCGGTACTCTCCACACCACAGGTTCCAGCCCATCGCCAAGCTGACTGGCCACATTGGCCCTGTGATGTGCCTGACAGTTACCCAAACTGCCAGTCGGCATGACCTCGTGGTGACTGGCTCCAAGGACCACTACGTCAAGGTACCTGAGGCTGCCTCAGCTCTGAGGCCAGGGATTAGGGGGCATTCCTAGTGTTTCTTCCACTCTCCCCCATCTTTGGCCTCTGTTACCTTGAGAAGGCTCATAAAAACTAATGAGACTTCCAAGGAGCTGTGCTGGAGAAATCACCCCAATAAAAGCAAGAAAGTATGTGCAGAAAGTTATAGATTGCAGAGGAACTTTGTAAATAGTGAAGAATTTGGAATAGCCTAAATGTTTAAGGATAGAGTAGCAGTCAAGTAAAGTGAAAAATTCACTAAACAGGATACATTGCAACTATTAATAAAATGCTAAATTGGAAAACGAAACAGAAAGTGTACAAACAGCGCTAATTTGTTTGCTCCCTGATAATGCCATTGACAACTGTGTGTTTTTGGTCAGAAACTGGAAGGAATAAGGAAAGTTGTTACAAGTAACATTATATTTAATGTATTAAAAAACAAAAGGATCGTAATCCCTAGCAGCTGCCTATTTAGCTGTGGGGTCTTAAGTGATCAGCCAGATCACCCCCTGCATTAGCTAAGTCAGGCTCCAGCCCCAGCCCCGGTCCCCATGGGAGGGGTGAAGTCCTGCACAGGGGGTCTTCAGTTCGCTGGGGACAGCAGCACTGCAGGCCCTGGCCTTCCCTCTTCCTTGCTCTGAGCTCTCCCTACTGGCACCTCCCCCTGCAGATGTTCAAGCTGGGTGACTATGTGACAGGCACCATTGGCCCTACTCACAACTTTGAGCCACCGCACTATGATGGCATTGAGTGTCTCTCCATCCAAGGAGATATCCTGTTCAGTGGCTCTCGAGACAATGGCATCAAGAAGTGGGATCTGGATCAGCAGGAGCTCATCCAGGTGCAAATCATAGGAAGGGGAGAGGGTAGGGCAGGGCAGGGTGGTTCCCCAGCCCAGGCAAATCCTTGGAGCCCTCTGGCTTGGGATTGCTGGCCTCAGCAGGGATGGTTTCAGAGCTCCCTAAACTTGCCTGTTCTCCAGCCTCTAGCCCTGCTGTCTGCGTCCTCCTCCCTCTCTGCAGCCTCTCTTCTACCATCTCCTGCTTAATCAACCTGCTCTGAGCAATGGCTTTGTTCTCAGCTCCTGGGTTTGAATGTGAAGCTCAGTCTCCAAATTCCCTTTCCTAGAATATTAACATTTTAGCCTGACCCATTTGAGTGCTAAAGTATTCTCCACCAGTGCAGGATCTTAGGCTTAAACCTAATGGGGAAACAGAAAGACCCATCTCTAGTCCCCTGAAACCCCCTAGCACCCCCTGGCCCAGAGAGCTTGTTCTGCCCGCCTTCCCATCCACCCTCTCCCCTCAGCATGAGCAGTGGGACAGCCCCTGGACAGGGTTCCAAGGAGCAGAAAGCAGAAGGGGGCACCTTCAGCCTGGCAGCCTCCCCAGCCTGGCTCTGGCTCCTGGGACTGACCATCCCTGCCTGCGTGATAGCAGCCCTCATTAGCAAGAGGATCCCCAGGGCAGGTCCTCTCCCTCCTTGGTACCTCTCCTGGTCCTCACCAGCCCTGCTCTTCCTGCAGCAAATTCCCAATGCACACAAGGACTGGGTGTGCGCCCTGGCCTTTGTCCCAGGCCGCCCCATGCTGCTGAGCGCCTGCCGTGCAGGTGTCATCAAGGTCTGGAATGTGGACAACTTCACACCCATCGGTGAGATCAAGGGCCACGACAGCCCCATCAATGCCATCTGTACCAACACCAAGCACATCTTCACAGCCTCCAGGTGGGTGCTGAACAGAGAGCTGCCTGTGCTCCCCACCCCCTCTCCTGACATGGACAGGGGGTGCTGGGAGGCTTCAAGCCCTTGATTCACAGAGCAGACCATATGGAGACCTCCTTCCCATACCCAGCTCATGCCAGCCTTCCCTGAGTGCCTACTGTGTGTTGGGCACTGTGCTTTGCAAATGAGCAAGAAAGTGCTGGCCTTGGGCTGGGGCTTGCCCACTTGTCTCCAGGCCTCTCCTGCCCCTCCCACATTAGCCCCACCTGTCTGTCTTTCCTGCCCAGGGACCTTTCAGACCACAAGGCAGCCCTGCCACCTCCAGACCACACCTCCCTCCCTCCTGCCCCCAGCTCTGGTCCCCCATGCAGGGAGCTCCCAGGCTCTCCACCCTGCGGGGTGCTACTCAGACGGCTTTCTTCTTTTCTCTTCTTGTTCCAACCTTGTCCTCTGTCCCATCCCCTTCCTGTCTCCTCCTACCTCTCCTCTCTCTCTGCCCTTCACTCTCTCCCCCCACAGTGACTGCCGGGTAAAGTTGTGGAATTACGTCCCTGGACTCACCCCCTGCCTTCCTCGCCGAGTCCTGGCCATAAAGGGCCGCGCCACCACCATGCCCTGACGCCCGCCCCTCTCCCCATTTCCTCTCTCATTCTTCCCCTCTTTCCTTTCCCCTCTCTCTCCTCACTTCGATCTGAGCTGCTTCTTGACGGTATGAGATTATTTTACTCCTTCTCCCTACTGTCCCTTCACAGCCCCTGGCCCAGAGAGCTTGTTCTGCCCGCCTTCCCACTCCACCCTCTCCCCTCAGCATGAGCAGTGGGACGGCCCCTGGACAGGGTGCCAGGGAGCAGAAAGCAGAGGGGAACACCGCCAGGCCTGGGCAAAATAGCACAACACAAGGAAATCCCCCAGGATAAAGATCCTGCTGGGACCTTGGAGTCTGCAGCCCATTTGCCCCTAAGTGATGCTTGCCTCTCAGCCCCAGGTCCATTTGGGGACAAATGTGGATATCCTTCACTTCTGGGGGCAGCCAGCTGGGCACACTTCAAGAGCTGACCAACCTCCTCTTTGTCCTCCACCCCAGTGACCTGACGGTGAAGTTCTGGAGTGTACGGCGGTTACCCCACAGTGGCCCACCCTAGGAGTGAGGGCGGAGGCATGCCCCCAGGACCCTCAACCCCAGCATCCTGGACAGCACAGAAGGGAAGCTGTGGCCTGGCCTGATGGGGCGCTGCCCTGGGGACAGGTGCGGGTGTGGCCCTTTCTCCTGTTCTCCCTGCCTTCCCAAGGATGCTGTTTCCTCTGTCCCTCCCCTGACTCTTGGAGCTTCTTGGGAGAGCAAGGGTGGGGAGGAAATTAAGCTGTGAAGCCAAAGGGCATTATCCCCTCTGTTCCTCTCTCCCTCACCCACCACTCGTCACGTGTTCTTCTGCTGAGCTGGCCCTGCCCCTCCTCCTGGCCTTTAGCCTAGCAATGGGGCTCTGTGGGGTAAGTGAGGCAGCCAGCCAGCCCCATCATGGTCATGCCCCCCCCCACGTGCCCCCAGGAGCTGGCCTCCCCCCACATTCCCAGCCAGCATCTGGAGCCAGTGCACCTGCCTCTGAGCCCAAAAAGCTAGTCCTCAGGTAACCATGGAAACCAGGCGTAGACAGCTGGGCCTAACAGCTGACCCCTAACCCACCCTATGGCCACAACTAGTCCCACTTGGCCCCAGCGATTACCTAGGATTCCTTTCTGATGGGGCCAAGGGGGAGCTGCTAGAAAGATTCCTTTGGGGAGATGGTCAGAAATACTTCAGTTATTTATTGGTTTTTTATTTTTATTTTTTGCTGTTGCCTCCTGGAAACTGACTTGAAGTTTCTTCCCACATGTTTTTTCCCTCAGCTCTTGGGGACCTGGGATTCCAAAAGGAATCCGCTGCCCCGGCCTCCAGGGCCACCTCCTCTGTTTGCTTTGCAGAGGAGGGACATGCCCCTTTGACTCCTTGCAGCTTGGGCCTGTCCCAACATTACCCCCAGGGACCTTCTAGTGCACCCCTGGCCTCTAGGCCTCCTGATGCTTCAGTGCCTTCCTCTACCCTGAGGCCTGGCACCACGCTGGGCAGCCTCACACCAGCCATGCCCATGACACCACATGTGTCTTCTCACTCATGGGGTTCCATGCCCAAAGACCCCGGGAAGGCGGGGGAGCTCACCCCCCACACAGCCCAGGGCCAGGGAGCCTGCTCCCCAGATTCCTGCATGGGTCACATAGGAAGCAGCTTGGTGGACTGTCCACTAGGATGTGGCTTGGATGGGGAGGACTGCCCAGCCCCTTACCCCTCACAGTCCACCCATATTTTTACCCTAACTAGAACAGGGAGTCTCTCCAGCATCTTCTTCTCTGGTTTATTCAGGAGATACATTTTCAGCCTTAAAACTGGCATGGGGCACAGGTGCTCCCTTTTAGGAGGTTATCACTGAAGAGGGAGTTCACTTTTCCTTGGGGCTGTGAACCACAGCTCTGGGCAGGGTGTTAAGTCAGTGTTCGGGTGCCCCCTGTTGGGGCAACTCTGAATTTGCAGGAATGCATCTTGGAAGGGGCCGGGCTCTATCCGCTGTCCCTCAGCCCCCCTGTAAGCCTGTCCACATGGTTTTTCCATTGGGAACCAGGAACCCCAGCTCTACTCAAAGGACATGGTGACTTTTGGACTTTCTGGAGGTGGCTCTGTTACTGCCCTTGGCATCTCTCCTTTGTCCAGGGCAGCCAAAGCATGGTCTTTGGGGCCCCTAGTATGGGAGGGGGTCAGGCTCCAGTGGAGGCCGAGTGGGGCCTGTCCCCTGCCCTTGTGCCCTCTTCGGAGCCACGTCAGAAGCTAAGAAGCCTGTCTTGCTTGTGTGTGGCCCTGCTGGACTTGTGATTAGGCTGGGGGAGCTAGTATGCAGGAAGGACACACATTGTCAGAGACTGATCTCCTGGAACCTGACAGTCTGTCTGCGATGCCTGGAAATCCTCCTCCCCTGGCCATTCCCAGGGGTGCTGGGCAACTCCCTTAGCACTCAGAAGTGGCCACAAGTCTCTTCCCACTCCTCTTCCATCCCTCCCCACCTGAACAGGAAGTTTTGACCTTGCAACCTGTAAGAAAGACTCTGTCCGCATGACTGTTTACAAGCTATAGAAACATGTAATACTGTGCCCTGCTCCCCCCAGGGCCGGCCATGCCCCAGCTTGGGGTGACTGTGCTGTAGCTGCAGCCCTGTTCTCACACAGGTGTGAGCTCATGGCCCGCGAGAGGGGCTCATCGTTGTTGCCCATTTTCTCCTGTTTCTAATGGGTCAGCTACCTCATGGCGGGGCCAGCTCTGCTGTCCTGGTGAGTGTCATTGACTCTAAACTTGAAGTCTTTCGGGAGCCCTGAGCCTGTCACCTCGAGCCACCCCAAGTTGTATTCCATGAACACTGGAGTCTCTGCCCACTCTTTCAGGGATGTCCAAGGTACATTATATAGGGGGCAGGCCCCCAGCTCCTCTCATCGCACAAGCATCCTCAGTGTTGCAAGCACAAAATATTTGTGATTTGAGCACAATGGCAGGGCTCTTGCAGGCAGTCTTAGAAGACCTGAGCCCAAGACGATCCTCCCAAGAGACTGTCCAAAGTTAGATTTGGGGTTGCCCATCCTAAGACTTGAGGCTGAGCCATGGTAGGCAGAACCACATCTGTTTGCTGTGGGCTCAGGAGTAGACCCCTTTCTAGACCCCATACCCCAAATCTTTAAATGCCTGAATACAGGCTGGGTCCCAGGCCTGCTGAGCCTGAAGAGCTTAGACTCAGATTCCCTGTCTCCTGGATGGAGTATCCATCAATTCTCTTGAAGCTGACTGGCAAGTTGCCTCGATGGAAGATGTCTTCCATCCCCACCGTGCTCGGGCCTTCCCAGCACAGTCCTGAGCCAGGACTCCATTCTCAGTATTAACCAGTTCCGTGTTACCTTTTATTTGTGTGACTGACCCCTCCAAGGCAACCAGAATTCCTGAAGGCAACACCTGGAGTTGCCTTACGGGTTGTCAAGAAAGGAGGGAAGGCCGTGAGGCAGAGGCTGGCACACCCAAGCCTTTGAGGTGGTCAGGGTGCCACCCTCAGCCCCTTGGGAAGGGATAGCTATGGGTCTAAGAAGTGGCCCCACCCAGTATTCAGCTTAGGAACCTCTCCACCTCACCGTGCAGTCCTGCTGCCTACCTGGCTCTGTGGCTTGGGCAGAGGGAAGTTTAAAGCACAAAACCACGATGGGGAAGACGCC